TTCACCACACAATAGACAACTCACTGTTTGCAATGGCAACTCACTGTTTATATGGATCCGTCCAGGACAGAGCCAGCCAGTCCCCGTGCATGTCATGATAATACTCCACCATGTCTTCAGTGGATTTATCAGAGGAGAGAAACACGATCTCGAACTGTGCAGGAGGCTCGGTCTCCTCCACCAGCTCCGTGTAGAAATCACACAACAGCGGAGTGAAGTCTCGGCAGGGTGGACACCATCCAGCGGAGAAATACAGGCCAACCACTTTATTCCTGAGAGCTTCCTCTGGATCCACCAGATCTCCCTCTTTATTCACGAGTGTTCTTCCTGAAAACACCTCGACCATCGCTGAGGATCTCAGCTGCGCGTCCAGGTAACCTGAGAGAAGTGCCTAAATTACAGTTAAAGTATTGCTATGTGTCGTAAAAAGTGTCTTAAGTAGGTTTAACATACGGGAAAGCAGCTCTGCTCAATGTTTACTGCGATCCCGCGCGAGTCCTTTGACAGCTTTGGATACAGGGACGCGTATTTACAAACCGCTTCCTACTATGGTGAGGTTGACTCATGAATATTAATAACGCAACGGGACGTTCGCCCGCTGATTCGCTGACAGCTGCGTTAGTAAGTAGACGCTGGTCAGGTGGCTTGGCTCATGAATATAAATTAGGTGGTTCCCAAGTAACGTCAACGCTATGTGATTAATATTAATGAGATAAGGGTTCGCCGGATCAAGGAGTGACGCCCTACTTAAAGGAGAACTCCGGCGCAAAATGAACCTTTGGTCTAATAAAACATTGATACCTAGTCAACCGTTCTCTGAGATTTGTTTTCATGATAATCGAATGTAAAGAGTTTTATCTCTAAAAACTGTTTAGCGTATAACGCTAGTAATGGGGGCATCTATTAAGTAAAAATAAATCGCTAGTTTATACCACTAACAAGACTCAAAATAGCCCCACACTAACACAGTAACATAATGAGGGTCCCTACATGCAAAACGAAGCATTGAGAACTTTGTAAGTGTACAGACCGTTTAATAAGAAGATATTTTATGAAGACAGTCCACTTCGTGTATACAGACAGGAGCCATCTTTGGAAAACAGTCTCGACTAGTCAAACCACGAACGCCATTCATACAGTTCAGAAGTTCACCGAACTTCATGCAGTTCAGCTCACTTAGCACGTCGTTCGTGGTTTAGTTATACGCTAAACAGTTTTTAGAGATAAAACTCTTTACATTCGATCATCATGAAAACAAATCTCAGAGAACGGTTGACTTGGTACCAATGTTTTATTAGACCAAAGGTTCATTTTGCGCCGGAGTTCTCCTTTAATTATGATGGACATTTGATTAAACCAATCAAGATTATGTGCACAGTTGTCAGCCGTACGTAGTAAGAAATCCTCAAAAAAAGGTCCCTTGGATGGATAGATAGATAGATAGAATGAGATAGATTGATATGATAGATAGAAAGACAGAAAGATAGAAAGACAGACAGACGAGATGACAGAGATATAGACAGAACCAGATGGATAGATATGGACAGACAGATAATTCATTGTAAAGTCGGATCAAGGAGGGACGACCTTATGATGGACAAAAAAATTAAAAAATTTTGTTTTAAATTTTCATTTCTAATTACTGAACAAATTTGACACTGACAGTCAACAGAAACTGAGGTGAACGTGTTGTTGAGCAGATGCCCGAATTATCAACGATAATCTCAGGTAAAAGGTCTCTCCACTCATTAAAATCAGAGTTTGTATTCTCTAGTCTAATATACAATATTTTATGGGTAATTCAGAGGATTTACATTCGCAGACAGATCTTGAGGCTCAAAACCTATTCGTCTTTAACCACTAGGGGTGTAACAATATATCGCAATACAAAAATGCAACAATACGTATCGTAGATAGTGACAATATGTATCGTGGACAGTTCCCCCAAAATAAAAATTACTGTGTGAGAAAAAAATTCAATTTTTTCAGAGTTTTAGTGTCAGTATTACATTAAACTACTATACATAATGTTGAATATAATGTATAATAATGCAATGGGGAAATATTTGTGGGTCAGCATAATGCCAAATATCTTGTTACCAGTAAAAAGTGGCCTACATTATTTTAAATATATCTAGTCAGTGACAGAGTGCAAGCATATTCGTCTAAAATAATTCTGTATTTTCAGCTTCAGAATCATGAATATTTTTATTCTGGTGTCTCTATTGTCCTTGGGTTTCAGCACCAAGTCCAAACCTATTCATTTAAACCCACAATGTAATATCAAAGTTAGCATTTTAATCAACAGTACATTTTTTGTTAACCTTTTATCATATGTCTTGGAGTTTCGCAATAATATCGTATCGTGAGTTCAGTATCGTGATATGTATCGAATCGTGACATGAGGGTACCCCTATTAACCACTAATATATTCTAGATTTTGAATTAAAAAAAATGTTCTGGCCAATGTTCAGACATATAGAAGCAGTTATTTGGATAAAGATTCAGACGCACGCATTCACATGAACTTTTTTAATCTTATAAGGATAGACTTACATAATAATTATAAAAATTACTTAATTCATTAAGTAACAGGTTTTAAAATGTGTTTATACTTAAATGAAAATAAAATGAACTATCTACAAGTTAAAAAAAAAGAGGAAAAAAAAAAAACAGATTCAGTCCAATAGAAGCCATTTACCTATATGTGAAAGAACATGAAATTTGAACTATACATGTATCTGCAACAATCATCAAATTGCACTGCATTTTTGTCCATTCTTTTCTTTTTTTTATACAAAGTAATTAAAGAGCAACAGCATCTTAAAGGGACCATACGTTCGATTCTCTCCACGTAGTTTAAAGTGTGCATTTCCTCTAATTCTATATCTACAAGGTTGAATTAGATATGTGATATGCACACATTAGCTCGCTCTACATATAGATTCGTTTTTGATTTCGTCCCGATCGCATAAGGCCTGTTTCTTTGTTAAATATGGCACTCTTTATAGAAACAAATAAATTTGTCCTGTAGCAGAATGGTGGTACTGTGTCAAAAGGATATGATCCCTCAAATGCTGTTTAACACCGGTACCTTGCCTTCGATTGGCACGCCACACACAACACCAGTGCATTTGTTCTTATAGAGCATAGCAGAAAATAAAATACTTATTGTTTTTACTTAGAAATGGATTCAGAACCAGAACCGAAACGTCACAATTAGCAACACAATAAACAGAACCTTTCATTTAGGGAACGAATAGCCGAAATAAAAAGACAGGTACATGCATCACACTAACATACGAGAACAACTCTACTCATATCATGCAAAAAGAACGGTCTAGTTTTCATCGGTTTTTTTTTTCTCCGTTGTAAATTTCCCACGTCGACCTGACATCAAAACACAGTACATTACTACAGTAGGTACATGTAAAAGGCCAATCCCATGAGTATGTCTTTTCTGAGGGTCTCCGTTTGCATATTGACACGTCCGTTGTCCATTTGGAATAAGACAACTCTAGCGAGTAGCGCGAGCTGCAGTGAGGACCCGTACGCCTCGAAATAGTGACCTAGCTCTCGTTTGAGAAGGAAAAGTAGAACAGTCCCAGGACAAAACTTTACCCCTGCGTTAAGGTCACTACATTTGTTGAGCGCCGCAGCTTTTTTGCCCAGCCGAGCGTGTCGCCTGCATTAAGGTTTCAAGGTCAAAACATGGAGAATCAAAACTATCTTTATGCACTTCTTTGCTGGGTGAATCTTATGAAAAGCATCAAGAAATGTCTAGGTCGCATTTCACCCGAAAATCATTTGATATATATACACACACATATTTATATAAATGTTTTTTGACATTTGCATTACAATTTTCATGACATTTATATATATATATATATATATATATATAAAAATGAGTGCTGTCAAATCGATTAATCGCAGCTAACCTAAAGGTTTTTGTTTACATAATGTGTATATATATAAAATTATATTTATATATATATACACACACATTATGTAACCATAAACTTATGTTAGATGCGATTAATCAATTTGACAGCACATTTACATACATGTATATAATTTTTTAGCAATTGTATTTACATCTTCATGACAATTAACACATTTAAACTCAACCTCAAAATAATGATTTAAAGTATTCATACTTCATGGAAAGATTTAGATTTATGCTGATAAAGAAGGTTTATTACAGTATTAATGCATTACAGTAAAGGTTTTCTCACATTAGAGAATGAGAATTTCAATGCGTTTAAATGTCATGAAAATAAAAGCAAATTTTTTTTGCACATTACAATGTCTATTCATTTGTTTTCGGAGTGAAATATGACCTGTGCTTTTCTTGGTGTCACCCTTCTAGTGTTGCACATCAAATGCAGAACAGCGGATCTCTGCAACCCGTCCGCTCGAGGACGAGAGAAAAGCTTGATGTATCTGGAGCGGCCGAGTGTGAAGTGTTAAAACAGGAACGCTGTAACTGAAAGAAGAAACGCAGCAGCACAAAATGCTGAAATAATGCAGAACACATGTAGCTGAGAGGGCTTCTTCAAACATAGTAACATTCCTCGGAGGGGGCCTTCGAGTCAATTACAAGTCTAATGGGAACACACAAACCTCCAGACAAAACACACATGTAAAAAAACAAACAAAAAAAAGAATAAAAAAACGATACTGGAACCAGACAGTCAATATCGAGGCACAAACGTTTTAGGCTCGCAGAGAGATTAAAGAATTAAAAGAAAAATAACGCAAAAGTCACAGGGTGCATGGTTTGCAAAAAATTTCCTGAATACTTTCTTCATTATTGCAACAGCATTTTTCTAACTGGTATGGGATTAAATACTTTGTGCGATTAGTTTTTGTAACATCACTAAATACTTTGGGGCATTGGGTAACCGTACGATTATTAGCGCTGAAAAGACAAAATCGTGTGCTGAAACACAAACCCATTTATCTACACCGTAACAATGATAGTACCCAAGAGAAAATGTCCACACTATGCAATCTGATAGATGATAAGTGGGCTTTTTTTTTCTTCTTTTTTTTTTTTTTACGTTTAATGAAGCCCAAAAGTGAAATAAACGTTCATATTAACGTTTCATTACGTCCCCCCCAAAGAAGTGGTAATTCACTGAAAACAAAACAAGTCTCTGATTTCCTCTAAATTTAGTGCTTGAGATAATAAAAGCTGCATTAGAATTTACTCGAGGTGATGATAAATGTTTATATGTTTACGTATATATATATATATAAAATAAAAAGTAGGAAACAAAATACATAAAAACAAGTCGTGGGGATTCATTTCACACAAATGACAGCAGAGCTCGTGTGCGCAATTCTGGCGAGGGTGAGTGCATGAGCTAGAAGACGACGGAGGGTTAAAACTGCGAAGATATCAAGGACAGCGGGATATCTTGTTTACAGACAAAACGGGAACATTTTCCCAGGGCACTTTCTACCGCCGACCTCCGGCCCTCCAACTCCTGGCACTTTTATGCACACTTTTTCTGCTCCACATCCTTCATGGGCCCCTGTGTTTCTCACGTCTGAAATGATAAACACCTCGTGCATTTTTTGTTGTGACTTTTCTCCCGGGATAGCTTGGATTTCGGAGCTGTAACAGTCCAACAGATGTACGCTTTAACGTCCGACGCAGCCCAGAACGATGTTACTCTAACGGCCAGACCTCCGGGCTTTTCCCGGTGAACATGACGTCGCGTCTTCGTAATCACGAAGGAATGGGAAATGCTCGAGACGAACCTCTGAAATATGAAGCTACGTGTATGTCGGGGGATGTGATGTCCGTTCATCCTACAACAATAAGAGACACTTGACTAGTGGTAATCCACCATTCCATTTCCAGAAGATGTTACAAGAAATGTTTTGAAAGAACTTTTGGCAAAAACGTTTGTGTGAATCACATGGTTACGTGAAACTCCACCCCCTCTCCTCGTCCCGCGGGGCGTTTCGCTGCCTACGATGTTTTCACCAGGTCATAGACGTAAATGTGAAAGTCGTCATCAAACTTGATGAAGTAGACGGAGGGCTTGGCTTCCACCTGATGAATAACCATGCCAGTTCGTTTAGAGCCGTCCTCTTTGGCATATTCCACCTGCTTCCCCACGAGGCTGTCCACGACCTCTCCGGGCTCACGCTCCGCAGGGGGCGAGTCGTCTGCAACGCATGGGAAAAATCATAAATATAGATATAAATGACTCTTTAAAATGATAAAAACGGCTCAAATATGGTGCACCAATTAACTATTCAGCACACAAATCACTGAATATTATGAATAAACCGCAATTAGAATACATTTGTTTTCAATTGTAAGATTTTTTTTTAATCTATTGAAACGGCAAATACACACACACACACACACACACACACACACACACACACACACACACACACACACACACACACACACACACACACACACACACACACACAGGGCCTGACATTAACACCCGCCAACCACAGGTGTATTTCAGCAGTGGCGTGTAGCGCAGTCACTCCTACTAGCCACTTTGGCAGGTTGAATTTTATATATATTATTAACATTTTTAAATTGTAGTCTTTCAAAAAGGCATCTGAAACAATAAACTAAGTATAATGTAGTGTTGTCAAAAATGTAAATTGATACATATCAATACTGAAATGCCTGAACCGCTTTTAATACTCATTTTCCGCAGAATCAATACACTATACCAGCTGCTCTTTCTCTCTCTCTGACAGCGAGTGACACGCAAACCCGTCTCTCTTCACTCACTCATTTCTTGTTGTTGTTGAAAATGATTGGAGTTACAGGGCCTGAATTTCAGCGAAGGATTGCGCACAATTTAACAGCATTACACCCAAAGTGTGCTTACATAAAGCCGCCTCTCAGTACTAAATTCCGTAGTATTTTTCGTAGCATATTGAGCTTAAAGCAGCACTATGTAGGAATTCCGTTTTTGTCAAACAGCGACCCCTAGAGTCGCTGTGGAGTACTTGTACTGTCGTGAATAGCACTCACGCAGAGATGGCTCGCACTCACGGCCGGATCCCCTCCCCCTGTACACCGGTACCTGTTCAGTAGGATGGACGCTGTAACGAGTGGAAATAAGGTATGGCCCCTTTAAGAGCTGCGCGCGCCCAACACCACATATATATGGCGCCGGGTTATTTCTGTTTGATGCTCATTTTATCAGAATTTTATCAGATCTGTTTTTTGCCGTAAAGCAATTGGTTACCTCGCGAGACCTGATATCACACGATACTTCCTAACACTGAGGCCGGCGAGCAAGTTGCTCAAAGTTGCAAGTAGGGATGGCCCGATACCATTTTTTTTCAAACCGATACGAGTACGAGTATTTACTAGGGCTGTAGTCAACCAAAGAAATCCTTAGTCGACCAAAGTCCTGTCCTGCGCAAGGATTAGTCGACTAAAAAAATAAAAAAAAATAAAAAAAAGACGCGATGTTTTGATTGAACATTTAACAATTGTCATAGAACATGTATAAAACAACAACGAAAAAACATCAAAAATACATAAAACTATGATAATAATACAATTCTTTGAAAATTAAGTGATTTTTTTTAACTGCAAAGTGAGGAGCACTGTCCTAGGTCTATAGTAACAGTCACAATCGCGCACCTGACCACACCACACGCTACACAAAATATAACTGCTATCTGCCACAATGAAAAATCCTAACAAAAGCTCTCGTTTACAGGCTGTATAATATATTCTTCTTTACTTGTCTTTCAAAGCTATGGGTTAACTTTTGTCCAGCCGATCTGGGAGTTTTAAAACAAACACAAAAAAAACCCCAAAGAGCCTAAAAAACAATCCTAATAATAATAGGCTGTATTGTAGGACCGCATATAGGTTTATTTTCGTTTTGTTACATTATTTAGGCTATTTTCAAATGCGTCAAGTGTACAAATAAAAACAAAAACATATCAAGAAAACACAATCTATTGAGTCAGCATGATAAAGCCGTTAAAGGGACTGCTCACGTCTTTTGCGCACTCAAGTTCGATTTCAAATGTAGGCGCGCGGTGCGCGCTCATGATGGAAGCAACGCGGTCGCGGTGCGACGCGCTCTTTTTTTTCCAAGTGCGTCCACGCCGCATCGAGATAAAAACATAGTGTATAAAAACATAAAAACCGAAACAAGTAGCGTTCTAACTGAATGAATACAGCTAAACTACCTATATCCCTTACTGAGCGCGAAGCAGCAGCGCAGCCACAGGTGCGAACCGAGTGTTCTATGTGTGTGCGCTAAACTGTGGCGCTGTTACAAAATAGCCTAAATTAAAGCATTTAAAGTTGGGGATAAACCATAGGCTAATTATATTTAGAATACAGTAATATATAACTGCTTATAAAGGAATAAATATCAAGGAGTAAATCATTGAAAATTTCTTTCTATTGGTAAAAAAAAAAGAAAAAAAAATGCAACTGGTCGACCAAAAAGAATGTCAGTCGACCAAGACGGCATCGACCGATTAGTCGACTAAACGACTAAAGTTGACAGCCCTAGTATTTACATTTGTGTACTTGCCGATACCGAGTACCGATACCGATATTTCTACCGCAAAAGTAATAGGCTCCCAGAAGAGAAGACGACTATTTTAGAACACAGCTAGAAGACTGTTTTTATTTTCTTCTCTGCTTGTTTTAACAAGTCTAAAAATAAATAAAAATTAGTAAAATAATAAATGTATTAACACACAAACCACTGTTAATTTAACATAAAAGCAAGCAGGCTACTGCGTGCATGGTCTGGCATGACTGAATGCGCGCAAAGTGCGCTCCCTTAATAAATCCTAAAAGCTGACAGTTCCTCGCGATCTCACACAACTCTGTTATTATCAATGAAGCTGACTGCACAATCAATCTTTCATAATATCCACACTTTGTTTGTTATAATTAGAGGATTTGCCAGCATACAGAATTCAGCACTGAACAAAAAAGTCCGTTTTGAGCGGTGAGGGGAGTCCATCTTAAATGCTTCTGATTGGCCATTGCGTTCCAGAAATCAACACATATGTCTGTGATTGGCTACATCGCTCAACGCTGTAGCCATGTTATGAATAGAAACTCTGTCCTGTAAATCGTTTCTATTTTGTTGTAGTTGTTCTTGTTGCTTTTCTGCAAGAGATGAATAAAAATCTTTTAGTTTTCATGTTTTATTCATAGATATTTCTAGTTTGCGGGAGTCCCGCGAATCGTTTTATTCTCCCGTAACCCGCACACACAGAGTGAGTGCATTACCGCCCGCGCGCGCTCGGCCATCAGATCTATGATGCGTCTTCAGATGTTTAATTAGATTGCTGGTGTTAAACGATGTACTTTCTTTCCCTCCTCTCGACACCTTAGCTGAACATAACTCACAGTCTGCCTTGCTGTTGTCATCATCCCTTATCTTGAAATGAGCCCTAACCGTCGACATTATACTTTCCTATGCCTCAGTTCACCTCGACAAAGCACTCGCGGCGGCCAGTTTCGTTTTGCAAAATGTACGTGGTATCGGTGCGTGGTATCGACGAATTTTTATGAGTACGAGTACGAGTATATTAGGACAGTATCGGCCCGATCCCCGATGCCAGTATCGGTATCGGGCCATCCCTAGTTGCAAGGGTGGTTTTGCGGCTCACAGGCACCAGGGGGGTGCGAGACGACCACCATTCAACACGAAATCAGTAATATAAACATTACAATGACTCCAAAGTTGTTCGGTTAAGGTAAAAAAGTTACTTAGTTCACCTTTAAACAGTCAAACACACACAAAATAATGTCAAAATGCCAGTCTTGGCAAGTATTCACATAAACACAGTCAGTTATGTTTTAACTGAATGTAAACAGTTGAGAAATAAAACGCATGTGTAACAGTATAATGGATCGGTGCGTCAGGTCTTAAAGGGACAGCAGCTGCCAAATTATGAGATAATATTAAAAATATCTATATGGCAGGTTTTTCCTATGGTATCAATGCCAGAATTGTGGCCAGTGAAAATGCTAAGTAGCTTTGAATAACCACTTGCCACAGTGGCTGAAAAAAAAAAAAAAAAATTGTATGTATGTACACTACCGTTCAAAAGTTTGGGGTCAAAAGTTATATTTTATTTTTTGGAGGAAATTCAATCAATAGGACAGTAAAGACATTTATAATGTTACAAAAGATTCTATTTCAAACAAATGCTGTTCTTTTGAACTTCCTATTCATCAAAGAATCCTAAAAAAAAAAACTGTACAACTGACAGACTGACAGACCAACAACTGTTTCAACATTGATAATAATAATAAATGTTTCTTGAGCATCAAATCCTCATATTATACTGATTTGTGAAGGATCATTTGACACTGAAGACACTGACACTGGTGATGCTGAAAATTCAGCTTTGATCACAGGAATAAATTACACTTTACTATATATTCACACAGAAAACAGCTGATTTACACTGGAATAATATTTAATACTATAACTGATTTTTGTTGTATTTTTAATCAAATAAGCGCAGCCATGGTTAGCAGAAGAGAATTCTTTTAAAAGTATTTAAAATCGTACCGACCCCAAACTTTTGAACGGTAGTGTATATCCAAGCATTTTATCAGACATGAACAACTCTTAAAATATCTATATTGCCATCATCCACTGAAAAACCCATATTGGCCCATCACGGCTATTAACAGTTCATTTAGAGATTTCAAATAGTCAAATTTAAAGACCAGTTAACATTTAAAGACACTCAATTTCGATCATAACCAGCACTGAAAAAACACTTACTAGAGTCTGGCATGATCCTCAGATCTCCGTCTTTATAGTCATCGAGCAGCTGATACATGTAGAGCACAGGGTCTTTCTCATACGTGATGTAAAACCACGTGTTCATGATGGGCGCCCGGGCCAGAACCATTCCCCTCCACTCGTTCTTAGTGCCGTCCTCCGTCTCGAACATGTGCTCCACAGCTTTGCCGATCATGGTGTCGGCCAGGTGGGCGTCGCTGATGCGTGTCGAGGCTGAAAGATGTGCGAGAAAGCAAGACACACGATGAGTGGCAGGATCGGAAACATCATCCACGGCAGTAAATCTGGGAACAATAATTCACTCAAAAAGCAAGGCTCGAGTTTATAACCGTGCTTGAAATAAGCCAATCCACATTCAAAAGTCATCCGATATCAGAGATACTGAAGACATATTGAGTTTTAGTGCTCGTGTTGGAGAGAATCCAGCATACATTGTGTATTGATCATAGCTGAATTAAACACCAGAACATATTTCAATAAGAGTTTGTTTGATGGTGAACCAGCATTAAATATTAGGTGATGGATATTTTGTGATTGAGAAGAATATTTATTAGGATCAATATGAGTGCAACATTTTAAAAATATTAATATAATAAATTCACATTCACACATTAAGCCCTAACACACAAGCAAGAAGTATTCAAATTATGAGTACAGCATTTTAAAATATATATGATATAATAATTAAATAAAATGTATTTTCTGCTCATCACTGGCCAACTGCTTAATTAGTCATTAATAATTCACTTATATTCATTATTTATGAATATAGGATTATTATTTAACATTCATTCACTACCTTAGTTAACATGAACTAAGAATGAACAATACTACTTCAGCATTTATCAATCTTAGTTAATATTAATTTCAACATTTGCAAGAATAGTAGAGTTAGAGAATAGTTAAGAATGTGAATGTGCAAACCTTGAAATGTAATGTAAGTCGCTTTGGATAAAAGCGTCTGCCAAATGCGTAAATGTAAATGTAACATTTACTAATACGTTATTAAAATCAAAAGTCGTTAATGTTAACATTAGTTAATGCTCTGTGAACTAACACGGATTAATTTTTATTAACTAACATTAACAAAGATTAATAAATACTGTAACAAATGTTTTGCTCATTGTTAGTTAATACATTAACTAATGAAGCTTATTGTAAAGTGTTACCGTCTGCTGTCAATAAAGTGAAATCAAACAGACGTACCTTGTCTGTCTGGCAGAACCTCGAGTCCTTGCACCCTCTCGTCTTTATGCAGCTCCAGGCCGTAGACGCAGTCAAAGCCGTCATATTTAATCAGGTAGAGCGAGGGGTTGACGGGCACCTGGTCTAACACGGTCCCTTTCCACTGCGACGCCGCGCCGCTGCCCTCCTTCCAGATGTGCTGGATACGACAGCCCACGATGTTACGCCTGGGCTGAGCCACTGCTTTGGTGGGCCCTACACTGGTCTTGTGTTTCCTGTGAATCATCAGATGTCAGCATTAAAGGGGTGGTTCAGGATTTTGGACATCGGGCCTCATTTACAAGTTAGCCCTAGTGTTATTTATCAGTGGAGACAGTTTTCAAAAATTTCCATCCAGTCGTTCCAGTTGCATAGTTCGCCGGTGCTAGGCTAGCGCGAGTCAACGGTAACTGCTATCCTGCCATTAAAAACAGTTTTACCCACTCCACAGTTCACCTAAAGCAAATACATTATAACGCCAGACTATCGATGTAAATGTCTGTTGAGAGAATAATGTTAGAAATCAAACTACCCTTTCATTGCATTGCAATAGTTATACTTTGTTCTCTGTATTTATTAGCACAGTCTACAGCAGCGGCGGAGTGATATGTAGTTACCTAGGCAACCGAGAGAGGTAGAGAGAGAGAGAGAGAGAGAGAGAGGTAGTGAGAGGTAGTGAGAGGTAGAGAGAGAGAGAGGTAGTGAGAGGTAGAGAGAGGTAGTGAGAGGTAGAGAGAGGTAGTGAGAGGTAGAGAGAGGTAGTGAGAGAGAGAGAGAGAGGTAGTGAGAGGTAGAGAGAGGTAGTGAGAGGTAGAGAGAGGTAGTGAGAGGTAGAGAGAGGTAGAGAGAGGTAGTGAGAGGTAGAGAGAGGTAGTGAGAGAGAGAGAGAGAGGTAGTGAGAGGTAGAGAGAGGTAGTGAGGGGTAGTGAGAGGTAGAGAGAGGTAGTGAGATGTAGAGAGAGGTAGTGAGAGAGTGAGATGTAGAGAGAGGTAGTGAGAGAGAGAGAGGTAGTGAGAGGTAGTGAGAGAGAGAGAGAGAGAGAGAGGTAGTGAGAGAGAGAGAGAGAGAGAGAGAGAGAGAGAGAGAGAGAGAGAAAGAAGAGAGAGAGAGAGAGAGAGAGAGAGAGAGAGAGAGAGAGAGAGAGAGAGAGAGAGAGAGAGAGAGAGAGAGAGAGAGAGAGAGAGAGAGAGGTAGTACAGGTAGTCCCGACTGTACTGCGCTTCGGTTCTGTGTTTACTTTTCGGCGCAGTGCTACTAACCGGAGCAGAGTAAAATACCGCCGCTGCTGAGAAACTAGTTCCTGTAAATGTATTGCGATCATTGAGATGCAAGAGTAGTTTGATTTTTAATATTATTCTCTTAACAGACATTTACATCGATAGTCTGGCGTTATAATTTATTTGCTTTTGGTGAACTGTGGAGTGGGTAAAACTGTTTTTAATAGAAGGCTAGCAGTTACCGTTGACTCGTGCTAGCCTGGCGAACTATGCGACTGGATGAAAATTTTTGAAAACTGATAAATAACACTATGGCTAACTTGGAAATGAGGCCCGATGTCCAAAATCCTGAACCACCCCTTTAACATCCGTTTAATGACACATTTGAAATTTTTAAATGTTGAATTCTGAACTAGTTTAAAGGTGAAGCGAGTCATTTCAACAACAACATCAACACACAGAAAGACGACAACAAAAACACCGCATCCGTATGGTATTGGGTGGGATAGTCAAACAGATTCCATCTCAAACACGGAGAAAGTATTTTAACATCTAAAATCCATAAATCCAACTAAAATAAATAATTACGCTTTAATCTTTAGTAAATAATTTTACGCTTCACCTAATATTTAACTCTGATAATGATGATCATTAAATTCATAATTGTTCATTTGTTATGATTAATATGCACTAAACATAAAAAAAAAATATATATATATATATATATATATTGTAATATAATAATTAAATTCAAATTCAGCCCTAAAACACAAGAATATAAAAAAAATACGCTTAACTGAATATTTAACTCTGGTAATGATGATTATTAAATTAACAAATGTTTTATTTAATATGACCAATGAGCTAAAAAAATGTAAAAAGAAAATATGAATATAAATATAATTAAAATTCATACTCATATTTATCCTTGAAACATAAGTAAATAAAAAACACACACTTTACCTAATATTTACCTCTGATAATGATAAATATTAAATGAATAAATGTTATATTTACTATGATCAATGAGCTTATTTAAAACAATTATTAATAATATAAAAATATATAATAAATTCACAGATTAAGCACTAAAAATAAATCTGAAAATGTTAACTATTAAATTCATTAATGTTATATTTATAATGATCATTCACATATTCAGCCTTAAAACACAAGAAAATAAAAAATATTCTTAACCTTATATTTAACTCTGATAATAATTAAATTCATAAATGTTATATTTATTATGATCAGTATTTGTGTAGTATTTTTAAATAATTAATATAATAAAATAATATAATATCATTAATATCCAGACATTAAAGGATTAGTTCACCTCAAAATGAAAATTTCCTGATAATTTACTCACCCCAATGCCATCCAAGATGTTCATGTCTTTCTTTCTTCAGTGGAAAAGAAATTAAGTTTTTTGAGGAAAACATTTCAGGATTTTTCTAGGGTCTTATCTAGCGAAACGATCAAAAATGTATTCTTTTTAACCACAATTGTTCATCTTGTGCTGGTCTGCGATTACTTCAGCCTACGTCCAGCGTGACCTCTCCAACTTGATTAGGTAATGCCTGGCGCGTCCCAGACCAGCACAAGACGAACAATTGTGTTTAAAAAGCATATAGATAGAAAAAGAAAATGACCGATCGTTTTGCTAGATAAGACCCTATTCTTATCAGCTGGGATCGTGCACAGCCATTTGAAACTGCATTGATTTGGACTTCAATAATTTGGTTACCACTGAAGTGCATTGTGTGGAGAAAAATCCTGAAATGTTTTCCACAAAAAACTTAATTTCTTTTCCACTGAAGAAAGAAAGACATGAACATCTTGGATGGCATTGGGGTGAGTAAATAATCAGGAAATTTTCATTTTGAGGTGAACTAATCCTTTAAGCCCTACAACACAAACAAATAAAACAATTATCTTTCACCCAATATTTAACTCTGATTATAATCATTAATTTGATCAATACGAGTGTAGAATTGTAAAAATACTGATAAGATAATGTAATTTAATATATGCCCTAAAACACAAGCAAATAACACTTACTTATGAGAATTCTTTTTCTTCATCATATTTGCAGAGACACCAGGATGCCCTTCGATCACAGAGACAGCAAATACAGTTCATATTAAAAACAGATTTCAGACGATGATCGTCAAGAGGGTCATCCAAAATCAAGCATCCAATCAAAGCCGTTCTAACCTGCATCAGCTCTGGATCTCTGGGCCGCGTTCTTCCCGAATGGGGTCTTCATTCATCGGTGTGTGGGGGAGCAGCCCGGCTGCCACACTAGGGTGAAAATATACTCTTACTCTTTCGGATGAATGAAAGAGTATCAGGGGAAAGGGAGAGGGGGGATAAACCTAAAGGGGGCAGTCAAAAAAAACAAAAGCCGCTGGCATGTAATATGGTTCCCCCCGATGCCCCGATGGGTCGTGCCAGGCCACTCAGGGCCCGCGCAGATGGGTACTGATCCAGACCTCCTTTGGAAGGGCTTCAGCAACCTAAAAAAGAAGAACATCAGCTTAAACATTTGGAAATCACTCAGGGAATGTAAACGGTCACATTTTAACTTCCCAGTAGCCGATGAATCGAAGCGAAGAACCTCCACGTTAATGAGCCACAAGAGTCAAATTGCATGTGATTTTTCTTTGTGAAGAATGTTGGTAGCCAAACAGTTTTGGTTCCCATTGACTTCCATTATATGGCCAAAAAATACAATGCAAGTCAATGGGAACGGAACAGTTTAGTTACCAACATTCTTCACAATATCTACTTTTGTGTTTCACAGAAGAAAGTCAGTCAGTCATAAAAGTTTGGAACGACATGAAGGCGAGTTAATTATGAAAAGGTTTTCTTTTTTGGATGGACTAAGTGAAATATTTTTCAGACTAAGGGTGTATTCACAGGGGTTGCACGACTACTGATTGATTTCTTATCAAAACAATACTCGACTACTCGTGGTTCATGCTACTGTAAATGAAAAGACATGAAATAGGCTAGTTCTTATCAATAAATGTTTATTAACATGCAACAATTGCATAAGTAAACTCCAAACATTATAATTATGACATTACATATTTTAATTTTCAATTTCAAATGTAGGTGTGCGGCAAGCGAGCTCATAATGGAAGCGACACGCCTATGTACGGTGGCCGAGAGAGCTCAACGCGCTGAAACTGAAGAAAACACATGCAAATAGAAAAACACACACACATTAGGAAAACATCTTCGTCAGTTTCACAACACGCGTGTGCTCTGTAAATAGCACAGACTAGGGCTGCACGATTTGGGCCAAAATGATAATCACGATTATTTTGATCAAAATTGAGATCACGATTAATTATCACGATTATTTGTTGATTTTAACCAAAACAAATTTTGTCACATAGGCTAATTATAACTGCTTTCACGTCCATATTGTGCTACATTCCTGCTAATGTACAACTATGTGCATCAAAATAAAATAGGTCCTCTTATTCACTAGAATTCAGTGCATCTCCTTAAAGAATAAAGAAAAATAAAGAAAACAATAAAGAAAATGTAGCAAAACTTCAACAGGGCACTATTTTACATTGTGTAAATATATTTTAGGAAGCAAAATGTAAACTTGCATTGTACCTGCATAATGGATGTGAATAAAACGTGCAAAATATACAATCAATAAAAACAAATATTCCATAACAGAATGTAACCAAATGAGAACATTTCAAGGCAGAACTACTATGGAAGTTCGATTAATGGATGAAATTCAGAGTTATTGTTATTTGACGCTTAAGAAATGTAAAATGTTGTGGTACAGTGTCAGTGATTAGTTGTGAAGTCTTACTGCATAACTTGAATCTATTTAATCCTCCATATGAAAGTTTATGTGCTCGAATTATTTCTATTTATTAAACAATAGTTCAAAACAAGACGTTTGTAGTAGGGTATGATTATTGGAGTCCATTAATCGAACTTCCACATGCCTCTATAGTAATAATTATATATTAATATGTGGTATGTACCAATTTACTACTGCTCACACGACGGTCTCTCACGCGCACTGACGGTCGACGGTCTCTCTTGCGCGCAGACACACTCTCGCGCACTTTCGTGCGCGCACCTGGACACTCGCTCGCGCGCAGACACTCGTCTATCTCGTGCACTCTCTCAGATAGTGGTTTACAGAGCGCTGGATTGGCTTTGCAAAAAAAAAAAAAAAAAAAAAAAAAAAAAACAACTTTGATACGGAGCGAGCGTTCTGTGAACGGAATGAGGCATTTTAAATATCGCTCGATCGCGCGAATTTGATCGTGGGAAGCCAAAATCGTGATCGTGATTAAAATTCGATTAATCGTTTAGCCCTAGCACAGACCACAACGGAAATGTGTGCGGACCAAACAACCGTACCGAGACCCAGCTGAGGAGATGGTCTCGGTCCGGCTCCAAATGAACTCTGTGGCAGTGTGAAAGCAAACCACAAAAAAAAAATCAACATTGTATTTGGTCCAGACCAAAGCAAGTGAACTAGCGAACTAGACTTTCCTGGTGTGAATACACCCTAACACTCAAATCCTAAAACATAAGAAAAAGCATGGTAAACGGGGTCAAATGTGATTATGTTGACATTAAGGAAAAACAATAAAGGCAAAAACCTTGTTTTTTCATGCACTGGTCAAGTTTGAGATTGAGCCCTTTGGCTTTTCACATCCCAAATACACATACGTGTTTATTACATTACCCTTTATCTATTTGCATCTGTAGATTTAAATTACAATACATCTTTAAAGCCGTGAGTCAGAAATCTCCACTTCAGCAGCACTTAAAAATGAAGCGGGCGCACTGTCATAATTACGTACTCAAAATGTAGCCAAGCCATTCAATGGATTAGGTAGGCTAGCTGTTTATTTCTAAACACTTACCCAATGGTCGGAATGGGATCGTGAGGTGCCTAAAGATTCCCACCCCTAAACATAATGAAACAAGAATTTTGAACCTGGCTTTATCCAACGTTCAGATTTCTGTTCTAGAAATGTATGCAAATAACTGCATATTTTAAATTAGATTCTAGTTTTTAATGCAATCAATCAATCAACTGGGTAAACATGATGATATCTATAACTTAAACGTTTTACCCTATTCATCTGATGTGTCTTGCTTTAAATGTCGACCGCACGTAAAAGTTTGTGCTTTGTAAATTAGCATTCATTAAACGACGACGCACTCATTTAGCTGACATCCTGACACTCAAAATACCAAAGACAGCAGATCAGCCATGCCATGAGACCTGTATTATTCAGGAAGCCAAGCAGACGCTGTTATACAACACAACAGGAGTACGCTACAAGCACAGGGAGCTCGGGGCTTCCTTACACGACGTCGCTCTACCAGACCGTCCAAATAAATCAAAACCAGACCGCATGTTTAATACGACAGTCCATTGCACACGAACATGACCTAGTGCAATCCAACTGCAACATGCTTTAATGCATGCAAATACTCTTTTCCAACACAGCTGGACTCAAATAATAATAATACTGCTTCCATTTTCAATTTTACAGTCTGTATCTTCAATGAAAATAACGAGCACTATAGTAACATTTACTTCAAGGTCAGTCCTCCTTTTCACAGCATGCTGCCATGTTACTTTTAGATAAAGGTGGTGAGATGATGCCAAAGTTTGTCACTTGAACTGAGCAATGCCTTTCCTCAAGATATTTACAATATCCTTCTTGTTTCCCTCATATAAACTCTTTTTAGAGTTAGAAAATGTTTTTTTTTAAAGCAAAATTTACTTCCAAATGTATCCACACAAGTATTTATAGTAGGGCTGTCAAACGATTAATCGCATCCAAAATAAAAGTTTGTGTTTACATAATATATGTGTGTGTACAGTGTATAATTATTTTGTATATAAATGCACACATGTATATATTTAAAACAAATATGTCATTTATATATAAAATGTTTATATTTAATATACATTATATATAGGCTACATTCAGTCTATACATGCAAATATTTCTTAAATACACATGCATGTGTGGGTATTTATGTATTAAAAATAATTATAAACAGTACACACATATATTATGTAAACACAAACTTTTATTTTGGATGCGATTAATCGCGATTAATCGTTTGGTAGCCCTAATTTATAGTAATTCTCATTATTTTCAAAGGTGGTTAATGGTTATCATTAGATTCTTACTCTAACACAGTATGTTTGCTGTACTACATTGATTTACTGCATTGCAACACTTTTTATCTAAATCAGCATCAATTAAAGGCAACACATCTAATACCATCATGATGCATCATTTATACTCTATATATTCTAGTCACATTACAGTAATGATTATCTTCTAGGTGGAAAATTAGTTGTATTTATATGGCTAAAGTATACATTTATGATAATGAATTTCCAGCATGTCAAAATCTTGGCTATAACTGAACTCAGTCTTGCTGTGTTGAACACCTGCACGTGGATGATGGAGCAATTCTGTATGCATTTCCCAGCGTACCAGAATCTAATATATTTTAGCTGTAGAGGCAAAAGTACTGAGCTGTATCAAATGTTGGCCAGTGGCTGCCATAATGGCGGCTTCAGACAATGCTGAATGCAATTGAAGAGAGGGAATTTACAGCTCAATGACGCAGAAAAATTATGTTATTGAACAGTATTCATAACATGGGATTGACCGAGTGAAACCAGGGAAAGGATAGAAAAAGAAATGGATAGTTTTAGAAAAGTATGGTACAATGTCCAGCTGGACAAGAACTTTGGTTGTTTACAAAAGGCAAAAAATATAATGTAAGCATGCATGTATACTAGTGTTGCAGAGTCAAGAAGACCACCACATTAACCGAGACCGAATCAAGACCAAGATCAGCACTCCTCAAAATCATCTAAAAGATACATATCTGAGAAATGTCTTATATTTAATCAATAAATACAACTAAAATAATAAGACACCACCATATAGAGCTGTTATCAATCAAATCACTAAAAATAAAATTAATATATTTGTGGTGTCGAGGTGACACAGAAGTTGCATCTGAATTGGTACGATTACACCTGCATAAATAATGTTGAGATTAATGTTTTAAAAATAACATTTTGAATACCAAAATAAGATGGAACAACAAAATGTTAGGCCTACTTTTAAATATGAAACAAAACACTTAATGATATCATTTATTCAACCGATTTGTTCAAAGCAGCCGATTCACTGAATAACGAAACACCAGTCGAAAACGCACAACAGTTCTGCTATGGATTCGTTGGGAACCATTTTCGTTGCTGAAATATCAAAAACTTGTCTAAATTGTTTATAAAATGTCACTTACTATTAACTTCTTGTTTATTGAACGTTTGTATAAAATCAATATTACGTTTGCAATTGTGCTCATATCTGTGAAACCCGTTCTCTTGCTCTTATGATATTGCTTAGTAATATCCTATATTATAACATAAAAAACAAGATCTCATACAAGTACTTTTTGGCAATCATATCTTGGGGGGCATTTGTATGAATTTGACTGAGTAAATCCTGAACCCGGCACAACAGTAACAAAATAAATCACATCAGAAATAAGTTATTGATTGCATTTTAAGCAGTAAGTTTTACATCAAATCACATTAATGATGTTAACAAATAAATCAGACAATGCACCAGCAATTAAGTGATATCCTCACAGTTGTGGTCTTGAGATAAAATCCTGAGTAGACCGAGAGAAGACCAAGTACAAATGCAGTCGAGACGGAGACAACACTGTAGTCTCGAGTACTACAACACTAATATATACATGCACAGAAATGTTGCTTTTTATAAATAACCTATGTTCTTGTCCAGCTATCCAGCTGTTGTACATAACCATACTTTCACACACATACAAAATAAATATGATTATGTTTAGCTTTTTTTTTTTTTGGAGGTGGTTGATCCACAATAATATTGCAAATCAGAACCCAAATTAAGGGCTTAAATCAAACCGACCCATTCTCCAGCACGTAAACCCACCGCAGTGCCTGTTTCTCTGCTGTAATCTCTTCTTTACAAGCCTAATTGATCAATTAATCCTCCAGAGGTGCCCTACAAAACTCTTCAGGAGACTGTCATGAAATACAAATGAACCGCCGCCCCCTTCCAAAAAAAAACCCCTAGAATGATTCATGTCATTGTTCCTCATGGAAATTCAGCAGACTTTCTCAATGCAACCTGATCATTGAGCATCAGATGAGACTAATGAATGCAAGACCTTACATTTCAAACTGGCCAGAACCTTCAACAATGCAGTGAGATCACTTGGCCAGATTGGGTTTCAGTGCTGCCATTAACAAGCAAGATGACAAGCAGCACTGCAAGTTGTCTAGTTATAGTGAAAATGGAAAAATACACACACATGAATAATATTGCATCTGGGCTTGCAAGTGTATGGAAGCATCCTTTTTTAAGAAAAAGCATTACAGATAATAGCTAACTGGCAGTCTGAAGATATCATCACATAACAAAAACACAGTATCCAGCCATTAAACAACCAACACAAGTCCAACATTAACAATAAACGCGCGTTTTATTAATAAAAAATCGCAATTTGTCATTAAAAATATTCGAATCTGGCTAACTGACTCAATTTCGCTAACTATCCTCGTTAAACACTAAAAATTCTTCACAAACGCAGCCAGATGTATTATTCTAAATGCTACGACGGCATCCAAGAGGGATATAAAGCCAGAAAACAGCCAGGAATTATAAAAACCGTGTTATTTGTGTGACTAAACGCAGTGCAATAGCTCATAGCTCGACTCAGCTCAACGGCTCCAGCCGCCATTTTGGCTCAAGCTCTTATTTACAATCCCGCAGCAGAAACAAAGGAAGCACAAGAAACGCATTTTCAACAGAACCGTCTGAATCAAGCGTCCCCACAGCTCGCCCCCAAAACCCCTTTACTGCCTCCACTGCAGATTTGAGCTCAATCTTGTCGCATTTCGCCTTTTATTCAAGTGCAATGCATAAATGTGTCATTTATGGCATGGGTGCTCGCTTACCCCGGGTTTATTATAGAAATTCACGCATATTGCGGCATAAAGAATATTTCCACTCCAGCTCTGCCTTACTGTGTGTTCAATGAGAAGCGTTTGATGAGCGCAGGCGGCCCCGAATGCGGCCGAGCTCTTTCCCTCCCCTCCCCCGCTGCCACATAGTGCTCCGCCGCCGAACACCGTTGGCGCTGCGCGGGAAACCTTCCTGCCAAATAGTGCGCTGCCGACCGTTTCCCATCGTTTTTCTTCGGCCGCTTTCGGTTCGACTCGGCAGGGATGTGTGCGCATGCGCAAGCACTGCGACATGACTGTCCCCTTCAAAAATCCACTGACAATAGACAATAAACTCTGTGATATTATGGGCTGGACGGTGCTACACTTTATATGAAAATTAGTTTATGAATTCACTAATGGCCCAGGCAGTCTGTTTTATATAGTATGAAGGGCTGTGTAGTTTTTTCCCTTCTTAAGAAATAAATATGATAAATTAACTAAAAATAGCAATAATATGATAGACAGTGTGAAATATTACGTTGTTTATTAAGATTTGAAGTGAGTTAACAAGATGCACTACCTCTTTGCTTTTGTGGATTTTATGGAAATGTATCAGATATTGTAAATTAAAAGCTAAGAGACAGTGGGATATTGAATGTCTGACTTTCGCTTTTATATGGGATCCTAAAAAGCACAAATGATCACATCAGATAAAAAGTGTATTTTTAGAATAAATACAAAATATATATATGTATTATATAGCTTATAGGATACAGTCTGTAAGGTGTATGTGTGTATTTCTGTAATGAAAAGCTTGTACTTTTCCTGTTTTTTTATGCTTTTGGAAAAAGCATCTTCTAAATGATTAAATGTAACGGTAAAAAAGATAAACTTTTTTTTATTGTTATTATGTAATAAATCCCAGACTTCGATTTTTTAATAACTGGTATCAGATCCATAGAGTTCAATTTAGTGACCCGAGGGCCTCAGTTTCTATCAACACATGCTTGTGGAGAAACATGAAATAAATAAATGACATGGACCTTGAAACCTCAGTTTACTTCATCACGCTTCAGAAAAATCTTTTCAAACGCATCATAAATCCTTCAGTGTTCTACAGGTATGTTTGGTAATGAGGTTGTCAAATGCGTTGTGACATCCATTAACACACACACACACACACACACACACACACACACACACACACACACACACACACACACACACACACACACACACACACACACACACACACACACACACACACACACACACACACACAGAGACACACACACACACACACACACAGAGAGAGAGACACACACAGACATAGACACACACACACACACACACACACACACAGCGGAATAACCAAATCATCAGGCAGACAAACAAACCCAAATATCACAGTAAGGGAGTGGCATTAATAATAATCTCGCTGTTTCCCAAACAAAACTCGGCCGTCTCCCTCAGCGGTTGCCATGGAGACAGTGTCTTCACATGCCTTTGAACTGCTGCATAATGGACAGGAGCTGCTCACTGCGTTTTTGGATATTGCACTGCTCCTCTTTGAGTCTCTCCTGCTCCTGGAGCACCTCCTCCTGGAATATTCAGACCGAATCGATAAACAAGAAACGGCAGGTGACGTGGCATGATGAAATGTTAAACGTCCGTCACTCCATGCATAGAATGAGATATTTGCCAGAGTTTTAAATACGGGTTAAGTGTGAACTGCTCATGCAGTGACACGTTTTATTCATTATCAGTGTGAGAAAGTCACTGTTTGTGCAGGAACGGCTGACTTGAAGTAGACTTTTAAAGGAATAGTTCATGCAAAAAATTAAATAGCTAAAATGTGATGGACAGTGTGCAATTCTGAAATATTATGTATCAAGATATGTTTATTAAGGTTTGAAGTGTATATTTTTTTGTGATGTCAAATCGATTAATTGCGATTAATCGCAACTAACACAAATTTTTGTATATATGTGTGTGTGTGTGTGTGAGTGTTTGTCTGTATATATACATACATACATATATATATATATATATATGTGTGTGTGTGTGTGTGTGTGTATAAATATGTGTGTATACAGTATACACACACAGGCATATATATAATATATATAAATATAATAACATATATACAAACACATATATTACATAAACAAAAACTATCTCAGATGTGATTAATTGGCTTGACAGCATTAATGTATATATTGTATATATGAATTAGTGCTGTCAAATCGATTAATCGCAATTAATCACATCAAAGTTTGTTCATATAGTATGTGTGTGTGTATATGTATATATACTGTATGTTTATATACGTATATATATATATATATATATATATATATTAGGGCTGTCAAATGATTAATCATGATTAATCGCATCCAAAATAAAAGTTTGTGTTTACATAATATATGTGTGTGTACTGTGTATAATTATTTTGTATATAAATGCACACATGTATATATTTAAGAAAAATATGTTATTTATATATAAAATGTTTATATTTATATAAAATATACATTATATATAGGCTACATTCAGTCTATATACAGTATATACATGCAAATATTTCTTAAATACACATGCATGTGTGGGTATTTATGTATTAAAAATAATTATACACAGTACACACACATATATTATGTAAACACAAACTTTTATTTTGGATGCGATTAATCGCGATTAATCGTTTGACAGCCCTAATATATATATATATATATATATATATATATATATATATATATATACTGTATATATATATACACACACACACACATAATAATAATTTTTACACACATACACACACACACACACACACACACACACACACACACACACACACACACACACACACACACACACACACACACACACACACACACACACACATATAATATATAAACAAACTTTTATGTTAGATGCGATTAATCGATTTAACAGCACACAGACAGACACACACACACACACACACACATATGTGTGTGCGAGTATGTGAAACACAGTAATAGTGTGTGTATAACACTAGTACTAACTCAGTTAAAACAAGCTGTTTCTGTCTCTGCCTGCCAGCGGATTGTATGAAGTAAATGTGTGTGGTTATTTTAAAGCAACACACCCTCAGTTTACACAGCTCCTTCCTCTCCTTGTCGTTCTCGTCTGCCCGCGCACGCAGCCAAGCCTCGTTCTGAGCTTTGTGTCTTTCCAGCATATCCTGCAATTCCTGTCCAATCACAACCGCAAACTTCCTTTAGCAATTGTGAAGAACAGGAACGGACAAGAAAATGACGTCATCATCAGTAGTACCCGTGTCTGTCTCAGGAGATGCTCGTTTTGAGCGTCTCTCTCATTTTGTAGAGCCTCAGTGTCCCGTGCAAGTGCTTCCTTTTCCCTGTTTCAGGTGAGAACAGATTCACGTTATTAGTGATTTAGACAATTCATTTGAAATAACCAAATACGGCATAATCTCTACCTGTCTAGTTTTTGGAATTCCTCATCTAACATGGCAAAAGCTTTGTGGATCATGTTCATGGCTTCATCACGAACTGTACTGAAATCTCTATGACCGCTCACCTGGAGGAAAGTGACATGGGTTTATTGCCTTGGTTACAAAATCATATATTTCCTTATATATAAAGAAATGATGTGAGCCACGGCATCTAAACTAAAGCATACACTTTCCCTTATATATTCATTTATATTTAAAGCTAAAATCTGCACGTAAACTAACATTTAAAGGGGTCATCATGACATGGATTTAAAAAAAAAGATTTTAATATGTCCCTTGAGCTATTATAATGTTAATGCAAAGGACTATTTTCAACCTTTATTCTGACCCTCCTTCAAGTGTTTTAAAAACATTATCCATATAAAACCATAATTTACAGACAAAGCATTATGAAATCATTTGCTTATGTTTGTGTTTGTCAGATTCAATATATTTGCTGGTTCATCTTTCTACTAAAGTTTCTTTGTGAACTCTCCATTACACTGTGCCTTGCTGACAAAACAATCTGCAGTTAAATGCTCCGAACAAACATACAGCGGGGGAAATAAGTATTGAACACGTCACTATTTTTCTCAGTAAATATATTTCCAAAGGTGCTACTGACATGAAATTTTCACCAGATGTTGATAACAACACAATGAATCAGTACATACAAAGAAACCAAAACAAATAAGCTCAGAAATTAAGTTATGTGTAATAATGTGAAATGACACAGGGAAAAAGTATTGAACACATGAAGAAAGGGAGGTGCAAAAAGGCATGGAAAGCCAAGACAACAGCTTAAAACTATTAGTAATTAAAAAGCAATCCAACCCCCTGTCCGTGCACATTAATAACAGCTGGTTCAGTCCCAATGGATGGCCTACAAAAAGGTCTCATTGCCAAGGTGTCACACAAGACACATCTCATGATGGGTAAAAGCAAAGAGCTGTCTCAAGACCTTCGCAACCTAATTGTTCCAAAACATAATGATGGCATTGGTTATAGGCACCATTCTAAGCTTCTGAATGTTCCAGTGAGCGCTGTTGGGGCCATAATACGGAAGTGGAAAGACAATCATTTCACCATAAATTTGCCTCGACCACTGCTCCTCGCAAGATTTCTGATAGAGGAGTTAAAAGAATAATCAGAAGAGTTGTCCAAGAGCTAACACCAAGGTGTATGGCGTTTTTAGGGTAATGTGCAGTGCCATTTCTCCTCCAAACATGGTGTGTATTATGGCATCCAAACAATTCAATTTTGCTCTCATGTGACCACACTAAATTCTCCCAGTATTTCCCTGGCTTTTCCAAATGTTGTGCAGCAAACTTTAAACGAGCTTCAACATGCTTTTTTTCTTCAGTAATGGAGTCTTGCGTGGTGAGCGTGCATACGGGCCATGGTGGTGGAGTGCATTACTTACTGTTTTCTTTGAGAACACAGTACCTGCTATCTGCAGGTCTTTTTGAAGCTCTCCACAAGTGATCCTTAGCTCTTGGACAACTCTTCTGATTATTCTTTTAACTCCTCTATCAGAAATCTTGCGAGGAGCAGTGGTTGAGGCAAATTTATGGTGAAATGATTGTCTTTCCACTTCCGTATTATGGCGCCAACAGCGCTCACTGGAACATTCAGAAGCTTAGAATGGTGCCTATAACCAATGCCATCATTATGTGTTGGAACAATTAGGTTGCGAAGGTCTTGAGACAGCTCTTTGCTTTTACCCATCATGAGATGTGTCTTGTGTGACACCTTGGCAATGAGACCTTTTTGTAGGCCATCCGTTGGGACTGAACCAGCTGTTATTAATGTGCACGGACAGGGGGTTGGATTGCTTTTTAATTACTAATAGTTTTAAGCTGTTGTCTTGGCTTTCCATGCCTTTTTGCACCTCCCTTTCTTCATGTGTTCAATACTTTTTCCCTGTGTCATTTCACATTATTACACATAACTTAATTTCTGAGCTTATTTGTTTTGGTTTCTTTGTATGTACTGATTCATTGTGTTGTTATCAACATCTGGTGAAAATTTCATGTCAGTAGCACCTTTGGAAATATATTTACTGAGAAAAATAGTGACGTGTTCAATACTTATTTCCCCCGCTGTATAATCCTGCGACGCGATCCGGAACGCCATTAAAATAAACCATCCACTTGTTTCAGATGCTGGGATCCGTCTAAAGTCTTCACAGAGACACAAATGAGCCGTTTAAACTTGACGAATGTTCATTCACTCTTCCATCTGTCCTGTTGTCGACAGACTCAAGTGTGTGGAGTTCATCAGAAACTGAACGCACATCTGTATACTGTTTCAGTGTAGACAGCGTCAGTCATTATAATGGCTTCTATTTGCATTTGATGCGACGCTCACATCCAGTTAGGGTTAGGTATCGTTTCAATTTAAGCGATTCCGATTCTGCTTATCGAATCCGGTTCTTAGCGATTCTTTTTTCAGATTCCAATATTTTTTGAAGAGAGAAAAAAAGGGCAAATACTACTAATATTTCTACCTTTTATTCTTGCCAATTTTATGCAATAACCAATAAAATGGCTAAAGTGAAAGGAGTCTCTTTAAATACATTTTTTTTTATTGAATCATTTATTCAAGACTAAAAAACGGTGAATCATTAATTAATTAAACAGGTATTTATGAATGAGACACTGAATTAATACGTTTTAAATGTGTTTGAATTAATGATTCAAATGAGTTTTTTTTTTTTAAATAGACTAAAACATGTTATTCTGTGTAGTTGTCTGATGTATGTAATCATGATCTCCATTTTAAACAAAACAAAAACGATTTCCGCGTCGCTTCTATTATGAGCGCGCTTACCGCGCGCCTACATTTAAAATAACGAATTTGCACGGATTTGTGAACGGCCCCAAAGTCAGGAATCGATAAGCGGAATCTAAATGTTTTTGGAAATTTGTTACCTGTTATAAAATGGAACCGGTTCTCGATACCCAACCCCACATCCAGTGTAGGCAAATGTCAGCATTAAAGGGGTGGTTCAGGATTTTGGACATCGGGCCTCATTTCCAAGTTAGCCATAGTGTTATTTATCAGTGGAGACAGTTTTCAAAAATTTTCATCCAGTCGTTCTAGTTGCATAGTTCGCCGGTGCTAGGCTAGCGCGAGTCAACGGTAACTGCTATCCTGCCATTAAAAACAGTTTTACCCACTCCACAGTTCACCAAAAGCAAATAAATTATAACGCCAGACTATCGATGTAAATGTCTGTTGAGAGAGTCATATTAAGTTACCTAGGCAACCGAGAGAGGTAGAGAGAGGTAGTGAGAGAGAGAGAGAGAGAGAAGTAGTGAGAGGTAGTGAGTGAGAGAGAGAGGTAGTGAGAGAGAGAGAGAGAGAGAGAGAGAGAGGTAGTGAGAGAGGTAGTGAGAGAGAGAGAGAGAGAGAGAGAGAGAGAGAGAGAGAGGTAGAGAGAGAGGTAGACTGCACTGCGCTTCGGTTCTGTGTTTACTTTTCGGCGCAGTACTACTAACCGGAGCAGAGTAAAATTCCGCCGCCGCTGAGAAACTAGTTCCTGTAAATGTATTGCGATCATTGAGATGCAAGAGTAGTTTGATTTCTAACATCTTAACAGACATTTACATCGATAGTCTGGCGTTATAATTTATTTGCTTTTGGTGTACTGTGGAGTGGGTCAAACTGTTTTTAATGGCAGGCTAGCAGTTACCGTTGACTCGCGCTAGCCTAGCACCGGCGAACTATGCAACTGGAACGACTGATGAAAATGTTTGAAAACTGTCTCCACTGATAAATAACACAATGGCTAACTTGGAAATGAGGCCCGATGTCCAAAATTCTGAACCACCCTTTTAAGTGACTGAACACTAGTGGGCGGGGCCTATGATGCGATGATGTTTAACTATTCGTCGATGTCTTGCTCTGGAGGCAGTCATATGCAAATGCCCATGTGACGTCACAGATCTCGCAATATCACAGCGAGTTGTTTTTTGGAGCTTGATTAAATAAATGCTTTGTTCATAATGAGGAGAACGTTTTAAACTACGAAACTTGCAGGATGTTTTAATGGTATAAAGACCTTTTTTATGTCAAAAGATCAAATGTCATGACCCCTTTAAAAGTTTGGGGTCAAAAAGTTTAATGTTTTTTAAAGAAGTCTGTTATGCTCACCAAGGCATCATTTATAATACAGTAAAAATAGTGCAATATTACAATAAAAAAAAAACAGTTTTCTATTTGAATACATTTTAAAATGTAATTTATTACTGTGATCAAAGCTGTATTTTCAGCATCATTACTCCAGTCTTCAGTGTCACATGATCCTTCAGAAATCACTCTGATATGATGATTTGCTGCTCAAGAAACATTTATTATTATCATCACTGAATATTTTTGCGGAGACTGTGATACATTTCTTTCACGATTTTTTGATGAATAGAAAGTTTTGTAACATTATAAATGACATTACTGTCACTTTTGACCAATTTAAAGCTTCCTTTTGGAAAAAAATTATTAATAAAAAAAATAAAAAACTCTAACCAACCCCAAACTTTTGAACGGCAGTGTAAACTGTCCCTGACCCCAAATGCAAAGCCTTAAACATATAAATGTTATAAATGAAATGCCTGGGATGTTTGTAATGCGTAAATCACCTGGATATTTTCACTCCTGTAGCTCTTCACGGTCACTGGAGACGGACTCAGCTCGTACTTCACGTTGGGAATCTTTGTCGGTGCGAAGCTGATCAAGAGGAAATGATTTGAGTAACAGAACGTTACTTTCATATGAAACTGGTAATGAAACTGGGTGTTTTAGTCACAGAAACGCACCCACCTATTACTGACACCCTGCAGTCCAAACTCAGATAAAATCTCCTTCATCACTATATAACAGTGTGCATGAAGTAATGGATCAAGCTCAAATAAAAGTAAAACAGGTGATTGGTATTTAGGAGTCGGTAACATTAAGTACCTGGCTGTCTCTCCGAGGGGTTTATCAATTTCATTATTTTCAAGTCATTAAATTCTTGCTCTTCATTTTTGCCTCCAAACACATAAAGCTGCAACCAAGAAGAAAGAAACTCACTTAAAATCAACTAAGTTAGATCTAAAATACTGAAACACATTTCGCATCTTGTTAAACATGGACCAGTGCTGTTTTTGTTGTTGTAATTTTAACTGTAAAACCTGTTAATTGATTAACAGCAAGTAAAAAAAAAGTGTAATTATACAGTAAAAAACTGTTAAATGAACATTTTTAGTAAAAACAACAAATCTTATAATTTACAGTAAAAAGCACAGACTGTAACAAAATTAAGTAACACTTTACAATAAGGTTTAATTTGTTAACATTAGTTAATATAAACTAAGAATAAAAAATACTGTACTTCAACAGCATTTATTCATTTTAATTATTAGCATTGTTAGTTCATGTTAGTTAATGTATTAACTAATGTTTATAAAGTGTATTAAAATTAAAATTAAAACTGAAAAATTGAAAATAAAAGATATTTCAAAATATCAATACATACTATAATAGTAATAAATATACGAAAGTAACACTGACATGTACATTTCATGTCAAACATTTGGACACATCTATTCATCCTTCATTCTGACTATTTTTTACATTTTGTAATAAAAGATAAGTAATAAAAATTCAAGTTATGATGTGATTAAAACACGTGACACAAATAAAAACTTTTACTTTGTCTACATTCCAGGTTTGCTTATTCTGGACATTCATCAAGCAACTTCATGAGGTGCATCATGGGATGCTTTTTGAAGAAGGAACGATATGCATTAAGCATTTCATGCAGCTTTTCCTTCAACTCATTCATTTGGAAATCAGTTAAGCAGAAGCCTTTAGATTAATTGATTCTATGATCCTGAGAAACAGTGTGAGTCGAGTGTTTCCAGTCTTTTGAATGGCAGTGTATGTAACACACAGACTCACATACATGACTGTGGACGATGAAAGCCGCGTGTCCATGACGTCTGGCGGGAGGGATGCCCACATACAGCGGGACCTTCCACTTCATCTTTGCTGGTGAAACAGGAAGAGTGTTAGTGTCTGTTCATTCACTGGAAACTACTATGAGTTTCTCAGTTTTGCTTCTCATCTTACCGATGCTTAGTTTGTGAATTTCATTGCTGGATGATACCGCTCCGTCTGGATTAGTGATTGTTCCCCCAAATAAGTAAATATCCTGAATCAAAATAATAATAGTGTACTATTTGAAAAGTGTGACATGAAAAAAAAGTTCAAACACCATTTTTACTTTTGCTCATACTTGAATTTTGTCCGAAATCTTTAAACACTGAGTATTAAACTAGTATTTGTAGTATTTAAGTATTTAAAGTACTAGTATTTGTATTTGTTAATACTAATTTAGTATTTGTAGTACTAGTATTTAAACTAGTATTTAAAACACTGAGTATTCTGAGTTTTTTTCTCCTCATCATGCACATTTATTTCCAAAAATGTACACCACTGAACAAAAGTTTGGGGTCAGTAAGATGTTTTTGAAAGAAGTCTCTTTTGCTCACCAAGGCTGCATTTATTTGATCAAAATACAATAAAACTGTAAAATTGTGAAATATTATTACAATTTAAAATAACTATTTTCTATTGTTATATACTTAAAAATAAAATTGATTCCTGTGATCAAAGCTGGATTTTCAGCATCATTACTCCAGTCCTCAGTGTCATATGATCCTTCAGAAATCACTCTAATATGCTACAAATCTTTTGTAAAATTATGTAAGTCTTCACTTTCACTCTACAGTCACTTTAGAATCAATTTAATGTGTCCTTGCTGAATATAAGTATTAATTATTATTTTTTTTAAATCGTAGTGAAACCAAACTTTTGAACAGTAGCGTATAAATCCAGTCATGTTCTCTACCGTACCTTGTCATGATGCGACGTAAAGGTTTGACCGGCACAAACAACAGGAGACTCTCCTTTTACCTGACACTGTTCCCACACCAGAGTCTCTATGGGAAAAGACATAGTTTATTCCAGTCAGACGAATTAGTCGTACAATTACAACTGCAATCTTTTGGTGCAAAGCTATAACCCAGTATTCCTGTTGTTGTAAGGTAACTTTTTTTGCACCTGTAAGTAGATTTGTTTCACAGTGTCAGAGAGAGTTATCCTCACATTTTAGAAACAAACACAGACCATATACTTTAGACAATAAATATAATAATAAAATAAAATAAATAACATTTCTGTGTCATCTGTGCATTTTGTTCCTCTGAATGACGGCTGCTGGCACGAAACTTTTTTTTATTTCGCTTTGTTCTGCACTTTTGGACTATAAACCTTGCAGAAATGCAAAGGGTGGGAATCATCATGTAAAATCGAGCCAGTTATCCGCTGTACCTGTATTCAATGCATACATGTCTTTGAGTTGAGACCCATCCTCTGAACATCCACCAAACAAGAAGATCTGCTCTCCGACCACAGCAAATGAGTGATTATATCTGCAGAACAAAAGAGGAAGAACACGATCAGATGGAAAGACAGCAGATGCTGGGCTTGAGTCTCTGGAATAGGAAAACCACAAAATGAATTCAGCTGTTAAAACGGTAGTTTGAAACAGATGGCCCAGGATTACAGCTTCATTTTCAACAATCATTCAGTCAGCTAAAGTTACAATATATATATACAGTTGTAAAGTTAAATCTCATATTCAGTCAGATCACTATTTACCTTTCTGAAGGTAGAGTTCCTGTAGTTTTAATAGGCATCCAATTCAATGACACTAAAAGATGTAAAGTATAAACATACAGTTAGTTGCTATTAACAGAACACTTCATCCAAATATTAAAAAAAATGTTTCTCACAAATATTTCCTGACTTTGATGATGCTTTTGGGGTTTTGGAACAACAT